CACACACACACACACACACACACACACACACACACGCACACACGCACACACACAGGACCAAAAAGCACTTTAAGATTGTTAAGTTATATCAGTCTTCAGGTTTCTTGGATTATTAAATGTCGGCTTATTAAACCTACCGTAAATACTGACAGCAGCTTGTCAGATTTTAGTTTTCTGATAAGACAGAAATGTGATATGTTATTATTATTCTATGTATTGTTTTTTTCCACTGGTTGTTTAAAATAGCAATAAAAATCTAAAGTACAAAATGCTTCCATGTTTTCTGAAATGCACGTGTTTTTGTTCAACATTATCTTAAACCTTTTTTTTTACTCTTAGAAATAATAATGACTCCTTTAACTAGTATAATCTCGGTTTGAGACAGCAAAAAAATACATGAATAATATTTTTTAATGAAAAATGTTTAATGAGGTTAATCAACATAAATGCATGTTCTCTTCATGTTTGTGGGTTTTCAACTGTAGGTTGCATTGCCTCCCTTAAAACAGCTCTGTGATCTCAGTGAGATTTGCCTGGTTTAATAAAGCTTAATAAATAAATGCTCATCCCCATATATTCACAGTTTATACGTAGGAGTCTAAAAGAGAGCTTTAATATTTGAGAAATGCTGTATTTATTCATTCATCATCATATCTCTTATTAATAACCACAATCTGAAACAAATGTGTAGAAAAATACACTGAATATGCTTTAATATAGACTCAAGCATGATGTTTGATTTGATTTTACTTTTTATTATTTCACATCAAACAAATACTGATGACAGAATAAAAATATTGGGGAATGTAAATATTAATGAGGAAATTCTGTTAATGATTTCAAATCCAAATATTTCTGAGATACCATCTGTTCTCATCTGACACCTGAGATTAAACACTTTAGGGATAAAATGATGATATATCTGATTCTGAAAATTATATACCTCAAATAAAAACTACTTTCTTTAAAGGCTGTCCTTAAGCAAAATAAATAAAATAATAATAATATAAAACTCCTGCAGACCTGAGATGCTGCTGCCATAAGTAATTATCTGATCTGTTTCTTGACAGTTATCAACAAATTCTGAACAAATTACAACAAATGTGGATGCAGATCATTTTATTTCATTACTTTTAAATATTTTTTTATTTTCGTTCTCTAAATTTGCACATTAAACATTATAAGGATCACAAAGAATGTATTTTGATGTAAATATTTAATTTTTCTAATATTTTTGGCTCGTAAGAAATGTTTTATGTGCTCACACCAGTCTGAATGTTAAAAATACACTGTTTTTGTGCAACTTTTTAAATAATAAACAGCTTTGTAATCAAAAGTCATTCCATTTAAAAACAAAAATAAGCTAACAAATGCATAATTATTACATTATTTGCAAATTTATATTCATGCAAACCCTTTTTCTCAGTGCAATCTAATGAGTTAAAAAAAACTATAAACAAATTCAAAATCTAACTCAACAATTTTATTCAATAGTTGTTTCCTTTACTCAGACTAAAGCAGGTGTAGTTTTTCAGTGCAAGAAAAAACGTCTCATCTCTGAGTCCATAGATGAGAGGACTCAGACATCGCGGAGCGAGGCTGAACATGATGTAGTTGAAGTATCTGACTGACATGTATATGTTCAAATCAACATGAAACAAAGCAGCCTCGATGAAAGGACACCACAGCTGGATGAGGCAGAGTAGCAGCTGGAAAGCATGAAGGATGACGGTGCGGAGCCCCTTCAGAGTTGACTGTTTATTCTCCAAAGAAGCAGCACGGGCCACTTTCACGATCCTCTCGTAACAGAAAACGATGATGATGCACATGATCAGGAAGTATATCTGACTCACAGCAGACCTGAGCTGATGCTGCCACGTCTGAAAGAGGAACCTCTCTACGGAACACAACATGTTCTGTTGGTAGAAACTGAGAGAGGCCGAGGTGAAAAACATGGAGAAGACCACGACGCAGGGAGCAAAGCTGATGCCGTGGATGACCAGGATGAAGAGCATGACCCTGCGCGTGGAGCACAGCTCGGCGTGACGCAGGGGCAGGCAAATGGCCACGTAGCGCTCCAGCGTCATGGCCGTCAGAGTAACAGGCGTGACGTGAGCGTAGACAAGGGCGACAACAGAGATGACGATGCACAACCAGACAGGAACGGAGAACTGGAAAAAGTTCAAGACGAGCAGAACATCTGACATAACCAGCATGAAGCTGTCCGACAGCAACATCACAGCGAATAAAATGTACCGAGCGCTGGAGTGAAAGCATTCTTTTTTGAAAAAGGTGACAATCAGAAACATATTGACCCACAGAAAAATTGTAACCAAGATCTGCACGCCAAAGATCTGGAGGGTGAGCTGTTGCTGATAGAAAGCCAGAGAGACGTTAGTTGCCATTTATCTGCTTAAACAGAAGAAAGCAAAGACTGCAAAGCATCAGCATCTGTGTCATTCTCTAACAAAAACTAGACTACCCTCCTCAAGACAAGCTAATTATGAACCCTTGATGCTGGAAGACAAAGTCTGTCTTCTCAGAAGCCGCAGAGAAAGACAGCTTTAAATATTAAACATCTCAGAGCAACACTGAATGACAGTTTACTCTCCAGTGTCGTCATTATTATTGTCATCTGTTTGTTCCCCTTAATGGTTCGTCATTGGGGAGTTGGGAAAAGTTTTTTAAAAAAAGACAACATAAACCCGAGAATTTGCTCCAAATGTGTCTCAAAGGCAAATTACAATAAGAACTTTTGATCCACTTTATTGAAGAATGCCAAACATGGTTTGAAATTCAGGTTTTTGATTTAAAAAAAGGTTTAATATTGTGTTGTTTCATTTAATATCCATGAATCAACAATCAGTCAGAGCGTCCTTGGTTGGTCCACCTATAGGACAACATGGTCTGCAGGTGTTGTTCAGATCCTTGCAACACTGGAAAGATGTGTCAACCACGTCCAATCCATAAAGTCCAGACAAAGCCTTCAGCACCTCGGGGAGAATCTGATCCTCTACTGACATCTGCCAAGATAATGGAACCCCGAGTCCTCAGTGTTTGTCTCCTCAAAGGTGGACAAAGTCATTCCATTGTCAACAGGTTAACAGTTCCCCAAACAAAAACCAGCCTGGGACAGGTCTTTCCTTTTATAAATCATCAAATGATTTTCCAGAACCTCCTTTAGTCCAACAGAAAGTCATTCTCCACAGCCCCATAAAACTCCTTCCGTACTTGAGTTCTTGCTACCATAGAAGCTACATTTCCTTGAACCATCTCAGGCCTGTCAGTTGCCACAAGTCTTCTTGGACATTTTTTCAGCTTGATGGTTTATACAACCTCGTGTCCACCACAGGTCACAACTCCTGGACAACATCTGCATCAGAGGCCCTGAACATGACCCACTGGGTTTCCACGTCCCCAACCTCCTCCAGGGCATTCATAAAGTTCTCTCAGAAGTCTAAGTTAAAGACTGCATATTCTCAGTTCACCCTCACTGTTTGTTTGGGTTTACCGACTCGGGTCTGACAGCCTCTCTTGCCACTGAGTCCACCAGGCGGTGATCAATTGGCAGGTTCAGGGCTTTAAAAGATAAAAATGTGTCCTGCAATCTCTCTGGATAGGTCGGAGGTTCATCACAGGAACACAGAGACAAACAACTCTTTCACCCACATCTAGTGACACTGAACTGTATGGTTTTGGTTGTTTGGAGAACTAAACTAAACTAAACTAAACTAAACTAAACTAAACTAAACTAAACTAAACTAAACTAAAT